CAGGATCTATCAGTCTCGCGCCAAACGCCTGCTCATTGGTCTAATGGTTAAGTGCTCGCGCGCGAAATCAGTTGGGTGTGGGTTCGAGCCCCGCGTGGTGCGGGATCGCGGATGCGCACTGCTGAGGAATCCCATATCAGGACGAAACGGCCGTCCAGAGCTTCCAGGTTTTCAATGGTGGTCTAGCTTCAACTGACTCATGATTTCAACCTGTGAAATTTCTAAAATTCTCCACAAAACCCATCCTGTTAATATCTTATGTGTTTGTTAGTGCGCCCATCGTAACGCAATTTTATGTTTCGAATCAGTAATATGGGAAAAATGTCAAAATTTACAAACTAATTGAATAATTAACCATCGCTTGCGATTCACTGACTAAAATCGTGGTTCATCGGTCCACTTTTTTCCGAAGCTTACTTAATTGTTGAAAATTTCAAGTTCATTTGTTATTAATGCAGTTATCAGAAAAGTGTTTTATGGATGTTATAGTAGTTTAATAGTTGAGTTCATGAGTCAGTTGAAGCTATATCACTATGTAAAACCTGGTAGCACTGGACGGCCTTTTCGTTCCAGGATGGGACACCTCAGCAGTGAGCATTTCACGATCCCACCCCACGGGATTCGAAACCAGAACCTATCGGTCTCGCGTGCAAGCGCTTAACTTCTAGACCACTGAGACAGCCTGCATCCAACGGTGTTGGTGTCTAACTTCAACCTATACCCGACATTGTGCCACCATCCACCATTGTCTTCAGTGATTTAATATCTTACAATAGACCCGGTAGAACTCCACTGGTCACTGCTTCTCACTAGAACTTTAAGAAATACCTCTTGAAGCCAGTCATCGAATGATCGTGAGTTTGGATCCTACTGGTCAGGATCTTGGATGCGCACTGTTGAGGAGTCCTACATTGGGACGAGACGGCCGTACAGTGCTTCCAAGTTTTTCATGGTGGTCTAACTTCAATTAACTCATGTACTCAACTATTAAACAATGTAATTATTTTTAAAGCCACGGCTATTTACTCCATTCCGAAAACCGTCCCTACTAATTAATGCCCGAAAACTAGCTCTTCATCTCTCCTTCCCTGAACTAACCCTTGGCATTCATTTTCATGTAATCGAAATACTAAATGTAAATCCATGATTTCAGTTGTGTGAAGTCTAATGAAAATAATTAGCTTTTCATACAGCGATAAATTTACATCAAGAATACTTTAAAGTTTGAGATAATCAGTGAGTGGGTGATTGTAGTAAGCCATAGTCATACCAGAAAAAATGCACATGGTATTTGAGATGGATGAAGTTATCTGGTGAAATATCATGAAAATCACCTGAAAAATCCTCCCTATCACCTGATATGAGTAATCTTAAACAGATTATTTCTATCAATAGGAAATTAAATAGTTTCCATTTACCAAGCAATATCATCTTGAAGAGAGCAAGAACAAAGATTTAAATTCATTTTATTTCACTTGGTTCTCATCTACTGCTTACAACCTGTAATATTTAAAAATGAGTTTAAATTACTTACATGAAAGGATTTAATTGGAAGTTGCTATGACCACATATCAGTGTAATATAGCCAGAGTGATAGACTGAATAAAATATTTTAAATATATATCTTATTTGAAAGAAATATCTGCAACACTGATAATAACAAAAGTCCAAAGGACTAGGATCAAGTGGCTATGTGTTATGGTTATGTCAAAGGGATGTTTAATGATTGCACCATTTAAAACAGTACTTTCTCTTATTCAAAGGATTTTTGATATATGATCAAAGAAACTAGGATGTGCTCATTTTTGTTCGGCCAGTGCAGTTAGCTTGTCAGGTACATTTAAATTTATAGATACAGTTGCGGTAACATGATAACGCACTTGTTGACTTTAAATTGGGTTATTAAAAATGTTTTATACAGAATCAACAGTTTGTTTGCAGAATAGGTTCTGGCTAATGCATTGTTAATCTTTCCGCCTCTTGATTTCATCACCTTTGAAGCTGAGACTCGTAGATCTTGGTTTTTCATTGACCGTAGGTTCTTACGTTGTTTTACCTTCCACTTTCTCACATTTATCAGTGAATTTACAGGGGTAGCAGTTGTCCCCATTTTTCATCAATTCTTCTTCCAGTTTGTCAGCGGTACATATCCTTTCTACTCTATAAAATAGTGTTTTAGCCAGTGCTCTCTTGAAACTGATTGGTAAAAACTGTTGAAGTCCAAGAAAAGACCATTCCAAGTACTTTTTCAATAGATTGAACATTGAACTGTCTCATCTTTTCCCTGTTGTATGGTAGCGTTAAGTGTGATATGTCATTCTTTTCGTGTTCGATAGTAAATTGTGTGTTGGGATAAGTTTTGTTGAAGAGTTCTAGCAGGTAGATTGTGTGCTATTTACTGTTCCAAACAATAAACGTATAATCAACATATCTAAAGAATTCTGTAATCTCATCAGTCGCTTGTTTAACCTCCATGTATTCAATATTACCCACAAAAATATGTGCCGTAACTGAACCTAGTAGGCTTGCGATTACTATCCCACCAATTTGACAGCATATAGTGTAATTGAACTGAAATTGAACTTCTTTTTTGAACAAAAGTAGAAGTTGTTTAAATTCTGGAAGATAAATAAGGGAGATTAGAACACTGACGAAAAACGTCATTGATTTCAAGAGGTGATATTTCAGTGAACGAGGTTGTTAAATTTAAAGAAACCACAGAGCTATCAAAAACATTCATATGTTTTAATCTGTCAGCAAATTCGAATGAATCTCGAATGTATATGCTGCTAAACGCTGAAGGACTGGTTCTATCCTGTCTGTCAAACGGCATGCAAATTTTTGGGGAAGGTGAGTCGATCATTGACAGGATGGGCTTAAGGGTAAAATCATGTTTGCACACCACTGATAGGCCATACATATGAGTCAGATGTCAGACAAAACACCTTAGATCACTGTTGACTTAGCGATTATTTTCTTCCTTAGATTTTTTTCTAAGAATACTAGTGATTTTTTGTCTGTTGAATCCTTATCGCATTTGTCTGGAATGAGTCTCAGTTAGCCATCTAAGAATGACTTCATCTCGGTGATGTAATCAGCTGTGTTTACTAGGACAATAACTGGACGTTTATTCGGACATAAAACCATCACTTCGTAATTTGCTTAGTGTTTCATAGTGCTGTTGTGTATCTTTTAGATAGGATATTCGGCTTTGACGTGAGTGAAATGAAATACTGACTGGCAAAATCAATTAACTTTGATTTAAATCAGCCTTTCCTTCCCTCATTCACTAGATACATATCTTTTACCGGGTCAAATGAATTTTGAATTAAGCCTCCGTATCAATCTTGTCAGTACTCGCTTGCGAACGCCTAACCTCTAAACCACAGAGCCTGTATCCAACGATGTTAATGTCTAACTTCAACCAATCCACGAAATTACGCCACAGTCCACCATTGTCTTCAGTGATTTACTATCTCACAACAGATTCGATTGAACTCCAGGGAACTCCACTTTTGAGGAGTTCCATGCTAATGTAGTGTCGGTTACTATGTTAAGCCCATATAACTTATTCTAGCTTCGGGACAGGCCAATTTATTCATTCTTCTTGAGTCACGTTTTGACCTTGTTAATTACTCACTTATCAACCTTGATTGTTTTTATATGAGCGCATGGGTGTGTACATCTTATCACATATATGTAGCTTATTTTTGTATCACTATAAATACTAATTAACGCCTGATTAAATGAAGTTGCTCATATGCCTTCTCCACTGCGCATCATTTCGTTTCTCTTCCTTCGCTTCGTTCCTCTGATTGCCTGTCCAGATCAATGATTGTACAAAATATACGTGTTCAAAAATCCATTCTCGTGTTTAACCTATTTAATTCCGTTATTCACTAACACGAATTAAGTCAATAATTATATACGATGATTGGCGACATATATATTTCGACATGTATATCTCATTTAAGATCAATCATACGATCAAATTGGAGTCAGGTCCCTGGCCACTAAACTAGGACGAAACAAGCTTTCAGTGCTTCTAGGTCTTTAACTGTGGTCTATCGTCAATCGACTCATGAATTCAACTATTAAATTGATATAATATCCACGAAACCCCTTTCTGATTATTATTGCAATATTGTAAATCATATATATATTAGTGTAGAGCCATGATGAGCGGAATCTCTTCGCTCAATTTATTCCTTCATTATTTACCAAATGTTTAAATGGGAATTTTCAAAATAGAATAAAGCGGTTATTTGATTATTTCTATTATTGATGACCATTTCTAATAGACAACATTTGACAACTGGTTAATTTTTTCATGAAACATGTGACATGATATAACTGATGTTAGATATTTGATGGTGAGTGTCTATTGTTATTATTATATCACTTATTATAATCAAAGAGGGATTTCGTGAATATTATGGTAATTTAATATCACTATAGGGTTGTGAAGATTATTAAATTTTTGACTGAGATCATGAACCGATTGATGTTAGACCACCATTGAAAACCAGAAAGCACTAGATGATCGTTCTGTCCTATTGTAGGACTCCTCATCAGGGTGAGTCCATGATCCTGCCTCATGAGATTCAAATTGGTCGAATTTAGACATTAACACCGTTGGATGCTGGCTAAATCAGTGGTTTGGAGGTTAAACGTTCACGAGCAAGACTGATAGATCCTGGGTTCAAATCTCGCTAGATGGGATCATAGATTTCACTAATTGCTAAACCAATATTTGTATAAAAAAACTACTATTATTAGAATTATTAAAGTTAACTTGTTTTATTTGAACAAAGAACCTTCTCCTATATATTAACTGATATCTTGTAATAAACAGACCAATAAGAATGGAAGATTATTATATAATTATTGATCAGTGATTTGAATTACAAATCAAAATTCAATATCTAATGTCTTAATTTTTATTGGTTTAAATAAACATAACATGATTGCATAATCACTTTGTATATATATATTCATTTCTAATGACTAAATTGTTTGAACAAACAAAATTGAAGTATTCTGTTGTACGTCTTTGTAAAGGTAAATGAATGTTTATATTAAAATATAAAATTATATTTGTTTATCGTTTAGTTATTTATGGGTAATTTACATGAAACATTCAAATTTATTAACTATAATCTTTTATTGAAGTAGAAAGTTACTAATTTCAGTAGTAATTTAGATAGGTACTATAAGTTCATCTCGGATACATTCAGATATTAATCAAAGGAATACTTTTTATCTTTACTTAAATTAACTTAGAACCAGTTGATAATCCTTTAAGATATTCAAAGATATTCTGGAACAAAACACTGTAGACATGTTTTAGTTGTAAATTAAATTTCTTCAGTTAGATGGTGGTTGGTGGTAGTCGAGAGGAAATCCTGGATCCGGGTTTCGTGCTACTCGGCACTCATCAGTAAGGTGTACCTGTAGTCTTGGGGGAACTGGTACTCCCTGACGGACATGACACATGACATTGATCACCACCCAATGATCAATCGATTGTGATTAAATTTCTTCAGTGTTTATATGAATCATCTAGTAAGCTAGATTTGAGAAACACAACTTATCTTTGTGATCATTAAACCATCATTAAAACTTACTATTGAACTGATTTCTTAATATAGATTATATCATAACTTTACAATATAACCTCTATGATTATGATTAGCTGTTTTAAAACTTTATTTTCACCACAGATTCTATTCTTGATATATTTATTTAATCATAAACAGAAATCCACTACAGTTGAATTTAACGAAATATGGCTGGAAATTTAGGATTTAATGTTGGATCATGTGGTTCACAGGTAAGTTGATTTATATCTTAATTTATGTTATTTTTATTAGAATCATACCTTATCATTTCACTTGGTATTATTTGACTTGTAACTTCCCATTGAGATTTAAGACTCCAATTGATCAGTCTGTTATCGGCATATGTACATACTGTGCGTATGCCTCGATATTGCCTTAATTCACAAGCTTTTTGTAACCAATGATTAATAGTGGGTAGCAATGGAATAGGACGAAACCCGCGTCCTGGATTCCACTGCTAGCCACTATCCATCATTGCTTAGAAAAAACATACTTAATCATGTTTATTGCCAATTAGTTTATTGACTTAATCATTTTTAAAAAAATCTTGTTTTACCATTTCTCTGAAATCTGACTTCCAATTCATTAATACAATGATGTATAACTCATCTGTTGATAAGTGATCTTCATCTCAGATTGATTTCATTTAAGATATCATTGAAAACCAAAGAATTCTGGACAGTTGTTTTACACTGTTTCAGGAATTTTCAATAGTGTACAACTGCTATTTCACTAAGGCTCTCTCAATGAACGCCTAACCGCTAGGATCACGGGTTCAAGTCCCAAAAATAAAACTTTTACCGCTACTGATTTGCGACACAGTGTGATGATCATTTAGCTCAATGACTGTTTCACCTTTTACATGTTTGAACATCTGTCAATCATGACTTCTGATTGGAATTACAGAAATATATCGGGGTAAATCACTAGTGAATTGACCAATACATGTTTATGTATAACTCATTCATCAAGCGTTAGGTTATACACCCAGCTTTGAACGACACAATCTGTCTGAAGGTTATGGATAGAATCCTACTTATAAAAATGAGCTAGATGAGATAAAATAAAACTCGATCCCAGCAGTGAAAATACAAACACATTGGTCATTATATCATTGTTATACCTTTTATTTATCACCTTTATTAGCTCTTATCAACATCATGGATTTATGAAGGAATCTTTAGAGATATGGGTTTTTGTAGATATCTAGGGGGTCATCTGAATGATCTTTTTATTCAGTGAATGGTTACTAATAATGTTTTATGTCGATGAAAACATATAGCCGTATTAAAAATACATGATTATTAGCTGATGTTTAGTGTTTTTTTGTGCCAGGTTAACGTGTAATATACCTGTGAATTGACCTCAAGTTATGATCTTAACAGTGTTAACTTAAAATTCAAAATATTCCAACCAGTACGAAATTTATCGAAATGTTAATTTGAATAGATGAAATCATGACATACGTTTGAAACGAACGGTACTTGGTCTGAGTCCCAAAGTGCACATCAACTCTGAGATGCAGGTGCATTGAGCTGATGAGTTTTAAATAGGACGAAACGCGCGTTCTGGATTCCACTGCTAGTCACTATCCATCTTTGCCTATAGACAACTAATCAGTTCATACAATTAGGGATTCATCTATTTTATAATTATCGTAAACAACACTAATTATGTAATTTTCTCTTTTACAATGTCATTTGGTCCAACCAAAAAACGTTCCAGTAGTTGCAACTATCTGACTGATCTCCAGTACAACTATAATGATGCTTATTTTATAAGCACGAATAAATATGTCTGCAATCTATGACAGTTCTATGCTACATCTCATACTTTAATTTATACCATTAACTCCCAATATCATATATATATATATATATATATATATATATATATATATATATATATATTACTTCTATGATAAAGTATTACATTCATTTATTTTGTATACTATAATTGGTCATAAATCAGTCATATGGAGAAGCGAAGTAAAAATCCAAACAAAAATTTTGTTTCATGGTTCCGCATCTCACAATGTTTCTGTATGAGCATCAATACTGGGATGCAGATACATTCAAATGTCAAGTCTCAGATAGTACAAAACACTGCTAGTCACTATCCAGTTCTGCTTGAAATAAATAATTCCGAAAAGGTCTCATGATATATCGTATATAAGCATCATGTATGTAGATCAGTTGAAACTTGCTTTTTATTACAAACCAGTATATTGGGGAAATATTAAGAAATATCTTGTATTAAACATCTGTTTCTTTCACTTTTTGGACTTCGCAACAGTATTGACTCTTGATCTAACAAAGGATTGAATGCAGTAGCTTCAGGCCCTATGACTAATATGGGATATTTCATACCACTAAGTTGAAATCTAGTAATCTAAATTTTCTTAATGTTTCTTACTTTTTTTGTTTTGTTTAATTACTTTTAGTTACATCCAACTGTAATGCCTGCATCAAATTTCAATCCAGAACATGATTGTGAACGCTTAAGAAATGCTATGGCAGGATTAGGGACAAAAGAAAAAGAATTAATTGAAGTATTTAGTAATCGTTCTGCAGATCAACGTGCAGTTCTTGTAAAAAAATATAAATCAATGTTTGGAAAAGATTTAATTGAACATTTCAAATCTGAACTTAGTGGACACTTTTATGATACTATGGAAGCATTGTGTTTAAGTTCATATGAATTCGATGCCCGTGAATTATACAGAGCAATGAAAGGAGCTGGTACAAATGAATCTATATTGATTGAGATTCTATGTACTCGAACAAATTATCAATTGAAGAAGATAAAAGAAGCTTATAAAAGTAAGTAAAATATAAAATCTTGATAATATCTCACTGAAAAATTCCCCTGGTTACTGTTTTTTTAAAGTTGAATTTTGTAATATTTCCACTTGTCTCAAAGTGCTTGGATAATTGGTCAACATTATCATACGCGTCCTGTTAATTGTCTCTCACTATTGAATACAATATCACATCATACTTAAATATCAAATCGATTAAATCAGTATCCATACTACATAGATTTTTTTGGTGGATTCTAATTATTGTCCAGGACTTGTCAATAGCACTAAATAAACCCGACCAAACTTTAAATAACAGTTACGAATGTAACGTATGGTTATATGGTATCTAATCTTCTAAAGAATATGAGTTTCTTCAAAGAAACGGATACACCTTACTGATAACTCTTAACATGCAACAAATCTATATATATGACTCTTTACAAATTACCTCCAAGTACCTTACGTCTTACAGTCTTTCAATAAAGAACTGTAAAACTCTTTTAGCTAATTTTGTGGTTCTTAGAATGAACCACATAAAATAAGATTAAAATCGGTAAATGCAGTGAGAATCAGTATAGAGATTTACGGAGATTACTCAATTCTTTTGATACCGTGAACTGTTTTAAGTTAGATAACCATTGAAAACCTGAAAGGATTGGTTGACCGTTTCACTTAAGTATACGACTACTCAACATCACCTATTCAAAACCCTAGTGGAAGCCAGAATATGGGAGTCTAGCCTCATACATGAAGAATTAATCATCAAATCACTTAGGCAACGTCCAGTGGTGTGCATGTATGAGGCAGTTATCCACCGAAGACAATCGGAGATGATCACCCAATATCGCCAGCTGAATAAAATCAAACATACGCACCAACCGGTTCTAGCTCATTGCCCGAACTCGAGTCTAGAGGTCCCAGGTTCGATCCTCTTTGTGGAGTCGTAGATGTTCACTGTATACTAGTACCATACCAAGACAAAACAGATATATATATATATATACATATGTATATATATATATATATATATATATATATATATATATATATATATATATATATATATATATATATATATATAATTGCCACTGCATAGAGTCAGATGTTGTCATGAATACAAAGTGGAATAACTTTTGTACTTGTTTATAACAAGTTTCATTAGAATAATATATATTTTTTCTTCATAAAATGAATTCAATCAACTCACCATTTTTTTTAATACCAAAGTCAATATTATGTCTTATCTATTCACATGAAACTCCATACTGTTTTTTTTCAACATCTTTCTTATTACGGTTGTAATTGAGAAAGTATGTAAGTTTATATCTCTCTCTATGAATTTACTTGGTAAATATTGGCGGTTTCTAAGAAGAAAAAATATATATATACGTATGTCTAGTTTGGTGTGCTGATAAAGGAATAACTTAAACAGTGATATACTTATCTATTAAATGACAATGTAATGTCGATAGTCAAAGGCATGTTTGAGTTGCACAAAAAACATTTAGATATTTATTGAACATGAAGAAATATTCTGAAAACTGTTACGTAATGTTTTGTATAATGTTCCTGTGGAATAAATACTTAGTTATTTCTAAATTCCACTGAATTTCATAATCTATTGGTTATCAACAAATACTAATGACGAATAGATGATTAGAAAACAAAAACATTTCTTTTTGGAGCTGTCATTCAGTTTATTTGTTAAGATATGTGTTATCAGCATAAAGCATTGAAAATAGGTTAATTCCTTGAAATGTAATCTAAGAGAAGGTGATGAACACCTACTACCTTTTAAGCTTACTTACTTACTTAGTTAGTGACGGTTGTTTCTCCTCGTGGAGGTGCATAGGTCACCCACCAGCATTCTACATCGAACTGTGTCTTGAGCAATCCTTTCCAGATGTTTCTAGTTCCTAATCATTCTTTTAATGTCTGTTTCCAATTCTCGGTGCAGTGTTTTTCTTGGTCTTCTACTGTTCCGTTTCCCATCAGGATTCCAAGTTAGCGTTTGCTTCGTGATTCAGTTTGTTGATTTCTGTAATGTGTGTCCTCTCCAACTCCATTGTCTTTTCCTAAGTTCCTCCTCAGCTGGAACCTGGTTTGTTCTCTCCCACAGTAGGCTGTTGCTGATGATGCATGGTCAACAGACAGTATATTTCGTGGGTAATTGTTTATAAATACTTGTACCTTTTTGATGATGGTCGTGGCAGTTCTCGAAATTTCAGCTCCGTACAGTAGAACTCACTGTCGTCACGTTCGTATTAAAGATTCTGACTTTGGTGTTGGCTGACAGTAGAAAACAACCTTGCCAAAAAAACTAACCTGTTATGTTACCAGTCAAAATAGGGTAATGAGGGAAACGTGCTGCCTCTGGCTTCCTTAGGATTTCAATAACGACTGTATGTCTCATGTGTAAATAAGCATCTTCATTCCAATTGCTTGTAAACGGAGCGTAACTCTGAATAATTTAAAAATTAGATCTACTCAATGAACTATTACATTTGAGTAGAATGGTTGTAATGAATGTTTAACATTTTACTTATTTTTATAATCGTTGATTTACTCCTTATATAAACAATCAGGACCCATTCCTAATGGTTTGTCTTTGCCAGTTGTTCATGTTAAAGACTGTCCCAGTTGACATATGGGTGTGAACAGCTATAGATTACAATTATTACAACAACCCTAACTATACAATCGAAATAGCGATTTATTGGCTCTTGGAAGAATACCGTGTGCAGTGATATCTCATTCAAATTAAAGGTGTTGAAAGTGTTAAATCCTCAAATATCAGATTTAGTCATTGTTGAAGTGAACTGTGTTCATCGGCTTTAAATGTGTTCTCATTAATGTCGAAGTGATTTTATCTTGTTTTTAGTTTATCTTTATTTTATAAATTAATACAGTGCGATTTTATGTCCAAGTGACGATGGATTAGTTCAATACATTTCATAATTATTAATCTTTGAAATTAAACGATATACAATTCTTCTTGGATCTTGACCAATAAATCTTCATTTAAAACTTCTCCCCTCTATAAACCATCCTTTAGGGAGAAGGTATCTGTAGAAATGTTGTGTGTTAATCATCCGATCTATTCGATAGATACACCTCGTTAGTAATAAAGGAATTTATCAAACCTTCATGGAACAGAACTACAAAGACTTAAATCAATTTACAACAAAATATGGTACAATCTAGTATAGGATTCTCAAAGTCTTATAATTATAACACATTAAACGATGATATTGAATTTACAAAAAAAACAACCCAGAAACACACTCACGTATGTAATAGGTACAATTAATTACATTTTTCCTAATAATAAGGGTTTCCCAATTTACTTCATTCATTGTAGTATTCACTGGACATAATCTTGAAAATGATGTAAGTGGTGATACATCTGGAGATTTTAAACATTTATGTATTGCATTATTACAAGCAAACAGAGATGAATCCATACATGTTGATCAACAACTTGCACGTAAAGATGCTGAAGCCCTGTATCAAGCAGGTGAAAAAAAATGGGGAACTGATGAATCAAAGTGAGTGTAAACTATTTAATATAGTTCAGTTTTATATAATGAAATCAGTCACAACTATAAATAATTTTAATTGTTTGGGTGCGTTTATCTATTCATATGGTAGCAGAGAAACATTATCATCAGTTATATAAGTTTAAATCATGACTTCATTAAACTGTTTAATTTAAACATAGCATAGATTAGGGAATATGTTGATCACTACTACATGTAACATGTCTAAGTTCTAAATTCATTTTGTATTGTTTGTTTGAATCTTTCCATTGATATTTAGGACTGCAAGAGATTAGTCCCAAATAGAACGAAACGTGCGCCTCTGCCTGTATATAGATATATTTCATCTATAGTCCCATCGATACTAAAAGTTATCTTTATTATTTATTTATTAGTCTTTTAAAATTTCAAGTCACTAAACAACTCTTGTATTAAGTACATGTCCGTGTACTCGCCTCTGAGCCACACTCCAGTTGTTTGAGGGGTATTCGACTGGATAAAGTAAATCAAGTGGAACAAGGGTGAAGTTTACAAATTATTGGGTAAAGATTTGGTATCTGCTAACTACTAAGTTATCACCAACAAACTAGAAACTGATATTTTTTACAAGTTCAATCATCTTATCATACCCAAAACAGTTAATTATTGATTCTGGAATATTTTCCCGTTTGTAAATCAATTGACTTTATAAGCCTTTGCTTCCAAATAGTGAGGCCAAAAAATTTTGACTTATTGGTTGAAACAATCGATTTTCAAACATTTGTTAAAGAGTTGTACCCTATTCTAGCTAACAATTTGTGGATCCGAATGATATCACTGCTTTTTCAACAGAAATTAAATCTGAAACTAAATACGTATAACCTATGAATTGAAAGATATAGAAAGACGTTTCTTCACCATATATTTGAATTGTCAGCGATCAGTTGTAGATGCAATTTTATAAACAATGTCAGTTTTTGTGGACATATGATTATTGAAATGTATTTCAAGTACTTGAGGTGGATCCTACCTCAGTAATTTAGAAGGTAAGCAAATTCTACAGTACCGAAGGTCTTGTGTTTGAATTCTGAGGTGATGGACACACATTACTGAGTAATCTCATGCTAGGGTGAAGTAACTGTCCAAGTCCTACTGGTTTTCAGTGGTTGTCTAAGATTACTCCCTGATGTGTTTAGGTTTAAAGTGTGTTCCGTTTTCTACTTATCTATAGTCTTCAGGTGATATTCGTTATGAATTAAAGCAATTTTATTTACTTTTGATCATTTTGTAAATAATAGATTTATTCAAGTTTTTGCTACACGATCTCCTGAACATTTAAAAGCCGTATGTCGAGAATACAGTAATTTTAGTAAGAAAACTTTGGAAGAAGCTTTGAAATCTGAAATTTCAGGAAGTTTACTACAGTGTCTTTTGACCATTCGTATGTCACTGTTTTATTCATTTTGTTAATCATATAATTAAAGTCACAATAATAATACGTTTAACATGTCGTTTTTAGCCTACAATTTACAGTCAGTTACCACTAAGATATGTTAGATTCACTTTTACAAATTATGTCTGTCAAAGATATATTACATCGTTTGTATCACAAACTTAGCTTAGTTGAACAATCATTGAAATCCATGTAGCACTGGATTTTGTCCCTTTTTTGATCATAGGTCCGTACTGTAGAAGAGTGTAATACTAGAATGTAATAGTTGTCTAATGCTTCCTGGTTTTGAGTGGTTATCATTTCATAATTTAAACTATAAAAATTAACAAATACTAAGTAAGGAGATGTTATAGATGTGAACATTTTAACTTGTTTCTCGTCTAGTACTTCTATTTATGTAAAGTTACTGATGAGCAAAGTTTTATTTCGAATAAAAGATAAAATTTTCAGATCAGAATTACAACGTCAGTTGTTTAGCTGTGATACTTTATCATCAAGAAAACTAATACATATTTACCTGAAATATCTCTTATTCTGGAGTATGTATTTGTAACAGGTAATATAATCATATATCTGACACGTTTTATATCAGGTAATCATAGATAATAAGGGTTATCACTTGAAGCATCAAACTATTCATTGTTTACTAATCTATTTCTTGGTTGGAAATGTGTTGTTATGGGAATCTGTTAAATAATTGATCAGAAAAAAAAATAATATGGCTCAGTGACTTGAGGACTCTTAGATTTATGCCTCAACTAAAATGTTAATGCTGAAATTTGATAAATAAGATTAAATATACTTTCTGATTACTCTACCAATTATTAAGATGTACATAAGGAAGAAATTAGTATATCTGATATTAAGATATTCAATTACAATGGAGATTGGAGAGTTGGATTAAACTCACTTATTGTACATTGGTCAGGATCGCGTTATATATACTAGTTTTTACAATTGTCAGTTTCTTAGATTTGATGAAATCTAGATTTATGGAGATTGTGGTACTTTCACAGTTGAATTCACGAGTCAATCTAATGCTATCACTTTTACAGTGGTGGTTTAGCTTAGATTGACTCGTGAATTCAACTGTTTAAATACTACATTCTTCATAAATCTCTATCCTGATATTATTCATATGATCACTAGTGACTAGCTTCGAGATGGATTCCATGGAGTTCAATCCGTGTTGGGTGGATACACGGATTGCGCAATCTATCTATGTTATGCACTAAAGCCGTTGGATCCCGGTCCAGTGGTCTAGAGGTTGGGCGTTCGCGCGCGAAGCTGAAAGTACTGGTTTTGAGACCTGCATATTGGACTGCAAATGCACACTGCTGAGGAGTCCTATACTAGGAAAAAACGGTTATCCAATCGTGGTTTAGCTTAGATTAACTCATGAACTCAACTATTAAGATCCAGTTTTTTAGACCGATAGTCGTTTTACTAGATATTCAAATTCAGAGGATAAAATATAGAATGAACGAACAATATGGTGGGGCAAAATTTTAATTGATTGAAGAATGGGTAACATGTAAAATTGATTTCCTCTAATTGTTTATGACATTTGGTTAAAAACATGGTCAATAAATTAGTTACATTTTTGTCACCATAACAGCTTAATTTTATGATATTGTAAATCATGTTCATACATTTCATTATTGATTAATTCATACCTGGTGCTACCAGATTTCATTTATTTGATAAATACAAATGAATCATATTGAAATCTATATGTTTAAATATCATTTTGGTTTAATTTTTGTGCTGAATGACTTTTCATTTCACTGGTTGAAATCATGAGTTAACTGAAGCTAGACAACCATGGAAAACCTGGAAGCACTGGACGACCGTTTCGTTCAAGTATGGGACTCCTCAGCAGTGCGCATCCACGATCTTGCGCCCCGCAAGATTCGAGTACAATATCAGACGAAACGGCCGTCCAGTACTTCCAGGTTTTCCATGGTGGTCTAGCTTCAATTGGCTCATGATTTCAACCAGTGAAATTTCTAAAATCTCCACAAAACCCCTTCTGATAAAATTTTTAATTATCAATTTCATCTTTCTTTTCGAGTTATACGAATCATGGTTTACTGTTAGTAAATACCAAGTTTCATGGTTTACATCAATGTAATGTCCTATGCTTTCAGGTTTTCTATGATGGTCTAGCTTTAATTAACTCATGAATTACACTTTAGATTAGTCCGTTTCTTATCCTGACTAGGTTTTATATATTTTGCGTACCGATGTTAAATTTCATGATTACACAATATGCTGAATTAACTGCAATTACATATTGGAATTTCATTTGAATGACATTAAGATTTTGTGCATTAATTATAGAAAAATCTTATGATTTTGAGTTCAACCCAATGTACAATTGTACGTTTGTAAATATGCACATTTGAGAAGTTTTGAATGAAAATAGTTTTCTAATTAATGTTAGTGAATGAATGAGAATAATAATGACTTCATAATGATAAATATTGGATTCTTTCTATTTTGGTGAATATTCATTTTGTTATCAGTAACGCGAGTTATACAAATCATGGTTTATTATTAGAAAATACCAAGTTTTATGGTTTATATCAATGTAATCACTATAGAAACTAATCAACCCTACATAGTGTGAAAATAATTTTTGTTTTTGTATTTTCAAATCATTTCACGTACTTTCAAGAGATTTCACATTCATAAAAAATTTTGTTTTGATAATAATTTATCATAAGAATTTACTGATATTTCATTAACCTAAATGAATCACAGTAATAACCAATATTACACTTTGTCTAGTTTGAAGTTTATGAATGAACTTTGGAATGTGATCTCAGAGTTGAATTTAACTCTCTCTCTCTCTCTCTCTATATATATATATATATATATATATATATGGTGTTTGGCAATTATATTGGCCAGTGATAACACATAAATTCTATCGGTACAGGATTGTGAAGAATGTTGGGTTTTGATTGAGATGATGAACTGATCAATGCTTTTAGGTTTACAATAGCGATCTAACATTGATCGATTCTTAATTATTATAGTAAGTTATTCAGTATGAGTAGTAACATATTGACAATTCCTAAAGTCTGTATTAAAAATCTAAACTTTGATAGTTGATTTCAAGAGAAAAATGATCAGAACGTAAACCTTCTTCAAAATTTAGATATAAAATCTAAGAGGATAATCTCACATTCCGATATATACCAGAATACTTTACAGTTCTAAAATGTTATTAGTTAATTGAAATGTTTACTGATGTTATTCGATCTTGATATTCGCATTTAGACTGAACAATCACCCAATAAAATAATAATGATGTGTTCACTAGCGGTTAATTACAAGAGAGATTTCTTGAAGTTTAAGTAGGAAGCTTTGACTTTTGAAATTAGTCGAATTGAAAATGAAACATGTATGCCAATTAACATTGAATAATATTCATCCTGTATTATAAATCGACTAGTGTTATAAACGTGAACTATAATATTTTATACGAATGATCTAAAAGTATCATCATTGTTATGACATTCAAAGATCCTTTGTTTAATCTCATGTGAAGTCCTATGAACTAGAATAGCTTAATTGTTCGACTCTCCAATATCCATAATGATGGTAACGTAGATATTACATAACGATAATAAAACTTTTATCATTAAACATTTATTGTTATCAAAAAATAATTGAAATAATTACCTACATAACATTTTGAATAGATACACCATTTATTAAACTTAGTATTAAAGCAAGATAAGAAAAGATCATTCCAACAAAATGTTTTTTAACCCGAGTTCAAACATACTTTTTGTGTAGCTTATAAATAAAAATAAATTGGATACCGGCTCAGTGATCTAATTGGTTAAGCGCCGGGCGCGAGACTGATAAGTCCTGGATTCGAATCTCGTGGGGTTCGGGATCGTTGATGTGCACTGCTGAGGAGCCCTATACTAGGACGAAACGGTTATCCAGTACTTCCAGTTTTTCCATGGTTGTCTATCATGATTTCAATCAGTGAAAATTCTAAAATCTCCACAAAACCCCTTCTGATATAAGTAAATAATAAGTAATTTCAAATCATATGATTGCGAAAATAAATCACTACTGAATTATTACGTAATAACAATCAATCAGTAGTTGTTTTTTTACATCTAATTTATTACTCAGTTCCAAGCTAAGCGTTTTAATACGAGTTATTTATTGATAGAAATAACTTCATGTAAATCACGTAATAATAAACATTTATTCTAGTCTATTTTCTTTTTATGAAATATGTAAAAGCTCATTAGCTAATTTAATCATGTTTTATCAAATGGATTAGTAACAAATACATCATAATGATAACAATTTGATTGTCTGTTAGAGCTTTGAACAATTACACTTTATCAAAAGAGGGTGGACGGTGACGCGATTTCATGGATTTGTTGAAGTTAGAGCTGTTCAGTGGTTAGGTGTTAGGTGTTCGCGCGCGAGATTGATAGCCCCTGGGTTCAAATCCCGCGAAGGGGATAGCGGGTGCGCATTGTTTGGGAGTCCCATAATAGAAAGAAACGGCCGTCCAATGCTTTCAGGTTTTCTATGATGGTCTAGCTTTAATTAACTCATGAATTACACTTTAGATTAGTCCGTTTCTTATCCTGACTAGGTTTTATATGTTTTGTGTACCGATGCAAAATTTCATGATTACACAATATGCTGAATTAACTGCAATTACAAATTGGAATTTCATTTAAGTGACATTAAGATTTTGTGCATTAATTATAGAAAAATCTTATGATTTTGAGTTCAACCCAATGTACAATTGTACGTTTGTAAATATGCACATTTGAGAAGTTTTGAATGAAAATAGTTTTCTAATTAATGTTAGTGACTGAATGAGAATAATAATGACTTCATAATGATAAATATTAGATTCTTTCTATTTTGGTGAATATTTATTTTGTTATCAGAAACAGGTTTTGTGAAGTTAGATCACCATGGAATTCTGGAAACACTGGACGGCCGTTACGGTCTATCCTGAACAGCGTGCATAAACGGTCCTGTCCCACGAGATTCGAACTCAGAACCTGTCGTTCTCGCACACGAACTCTTAACCTCTAGACTACTGGGATGTTCGGCATCCAACGGTGTTAATGTCTATCTTCAACTAATCTATGAAATTGAGCCACGGTCCACCATTGTCTTTATTGAGTTACTATATCACAACAGGCCCAGTTGAACTCCACTGGTTACTGCTTTTCACTAGAGCCCAAGGGAATACTTCTTGAAGCCAGTCCAGTGATCCCAGGTTTTCCATGGTGGTCTAGCTTCAATTGACTGATGAACTCAACTATTATATTCATTTTGTATCAAATTTAACAATACTTTTTTAAAAACCTTTCAGTTCAGTGTGCAAATAACAAAGCATTATATTTTGCTGAAAGATTAAGAAAATCTATGAAAGGAATTGGAACTAAGGACAGAGATTTAATTCGTATTGTAGTGTCACGTTGTGAAATTGATTTGCATTTGATTAAGAGAGAATTTTACGATCTAGCTGGTGATTCCTTAGAAGCTTGGATTAAAGTAAGTTAAAAATAATTTATTACTGGTGACGTTATTGGAATTAAATATTTGACTTCACTTATATATATGATCGTACTTCTAATAGTCAAGGACACATTGAGTGAAACCTTGACTAAGTGCTCGATCGAATTATTCTAATAGTATTTACAATTTTCGACCTACCACCTGACCGTAAGATAAGATGCGAATACAGACATTTAATATGATTATATGCTAGTCCAGCTTATCAGTATCCTGTATAATATCTTATACAGTTCAATTATGTTCAGTGTATGGTCTGGAATAAATTTGTTACACTTTACGCCGACACCATTAGGAGAGTAAATTAACGGACTGAAAATCAAAGAAGTGAAGATATTAGTATTAATGATAGTGAACTATTGAACACTGAAATATATGTCAAAGCAACAAACAAAACTGGGTAATGAATTGTCTCATATATATATTTGAAGTTACATTTGGTATAAACTACTTTTCAAAAATATGTGCTAATAGATATTAATATACAATAAAATTAGAGTGTACTATTTTCAACGTCAATAGGATATAAATGGTGTGACAGTGATTCCTATCCGGTTTCAAACCTCATTTATTTGAAATAATGAGTCTATCATTTCTAGTATATTTTGTATGTGATTAGTAGTGAAATTCAAGAAGTACATTTCTCCCAATTCAGGACAAATCAGCCACATATACTTGTATTTCAGTTGTGGTATTCATACTGACATTCTAATCTAGGATCTTTCACTTCTAACCCCAAAATATTATCCTTTAAGCTAATAAGATCATATGTTCACTAACTTGTTCAATGAATATGAAGTTACTAGTATAGGGTTTGTGTAGATTATTAGGTTTTTCATTGAAATCATGAACCGATTGATGTTAGACCACCACCTTTGGAAACCTGGAAGCACTGGACGGCCGTTTCGTCCTATTGTGGGACTCCTCAGCAGTGCGCATCCACGATCCCGCACCCCGCGAGATTCGAACCCAGGGCCTTCAGTCTCGCGCGCGAACGCTTAACCCACTGAACCACTGAGCCGGCATCCAATGGTGATAGTGTCTAACATCAACCAATCCACGAAATTGCGCGACCAACTTTCATTGTACTGAGATAGATACCTGTCTCTACCCGACATGGATTACCTTCACTGGTCACGGCTTCTCACTAGAACTCCGAAAGTTCCCTCACGAAGGTAATCACTAGTGAGCACGACCGTCCAGTGCTTCCAGGTTTCCAAAGGTGGTCTAACATCAATCGGTTCATGACCTCAATCAGAATATAAAGTTGTTAATAAGGTTTTGTCATTCCCTGTTGTTAATGTGAAAGACTGATCAATTTCTATTTCCCCTTATAAAATGGATAATATTGCTATTCTAATCCTTTTTTTTATTATTATAAATTTTTTTTATTAAACTATAGGATGATACCAGCGGAGATTATCGTGAATTGTTATTATCACTTGTTCGTACAAATCTATAAATAACAAATATTGATCAGAATGAAAGTATTTGATGTTTAACATTATTACATAATATACTAGACTATTTTGCGTTACAAAATGTTATTACGTCTTAATTGATTAGTTTATTTGTTTGCTGTTTTTTTTAATTTTTAATATTGATTATTTTAATTTGTATAAACTTTTAATTACTATGCATGTCTAATTTGCTGGGAGGGGGGGCTTTCTTCGCTTACTTCACCTTTTCTTTCTGCCTATCTTATTACTATTTATTACTATCATACGATAAACGTCATATGAATTTCACTTCCTCGGACATTTTGATAAAAAAAATTCCAAAAAACATAAAACAATACACACGTACACACAACTAATGAATATGTTTTTGTCCGTCTATTCCACGCTTATTCTATTGACCTTCATTTGTTCTTGTTGTGTTTATTTGTTTTTTCACGAATTTCATTCATGAAAATTGATCAATAAATCACTGCCATCCAACTTATACATATATACCCATTTATAAATAGTTTTGGTAATAGACCAATGAAATATTGAATGTGTTATTGACCTTGAGAAATTGTTTCCATTTGGACACTAGCATAAAATCCAATATTAGTGATAATAATAACATGATGGATTAGTTGAAGTTGGACATTAACACCGTTGGAGGCCGACCAGCTCAGTGGTCTAGTGGCTGATAGATCCTGGGTTCAAATCTCGCGAGACAGGATGGTGGATGAGCAATACTGAAGAGTCCCACGATAGGACGTAACGACTATCCAATGATCCCAGGTTTTTCATAGTGATCCAGCTTTAATCGACTCGTGATTTCAACTATGGAAATAAAATGGTCACTTAACTTTCCACATTCTTGAGCGTAAATCACAAGAGTAGTTCACACAGTCCAGTTTATATATATATATATAATATAAATTTCACGGATGACCTGGAGTTGTGATAAAATCTACCATGAAAAGAAAATCCTACACATTATAACTAGATAAAATATTCATGAATGCTCTTCAATAAATAATGGATTGTACTGTGTAGTTTATCAAGAAATCATTTATAATATTCACTAAATATGTCTAATTCATTTCTATGAACATACGACTTAATTATTGATCGTATTATGGAATGAAAAGATGTAATTTCGTTAGCTTCTAAAGTTTAACACATTTAGTGTAATTAGCATAATTAATTACTTATATTTCATCAAAATATAATAGTCGAATTCGTGAGCCAGTTAAAACTAGACCAACATGGAAAACCTGGGAGCATTAGACGGCCGTTTTGTCGTAGTATTGGACTCCCTAGTAGTGCGCATCCACGACCCCGCCCGCGAGACTCGAACCCAGAACCTTCGGTCAAGCGCGCCACTGCTCAAACTCTATACCACTGAGCTGGCCGGCACCTGACGGTGTTAACGTCTAACTCCAACCAATCCACGAAATTGAGCCACCGTCCACCATTGTCTTCAGTGAGTCACTGGCTCAGAACAGACGAAATGGCCCTCCAGGTTTTCCATGGTGGTTTAGCTTGAATTGAGCTATTAAACTAGTACAATTTCCATAAAGCCTCCTTACTGTATTAAAATCAACTTAACAGTAACTTAAGCTTACTAGTTCTTCAATCAGCTTGATTGATTTCATTATCTAATCTCATCAAAATTACGCAACATTCCATAATATTGAGTACATATTAATCTCACATTATAACAGAGCACTTGAGATTTTATTAACAAACGAACACAGTTTTTCACATGTCAGTCAATTAGATAATAGTTATTTTTTTAATCAGTAAATTTGCCAAGTACCATGTCGTAGTTTGAACAATAAAATAAATGAAATGTAATGATACATTATTCAAATTCGAAACATTACACAATAACGGTGTACAATCTTAACCTCCTCAGAACTACATTAAGATACATTAATAAATACAAAACTAAGGAGTCTCACAATAGGACGAAACGGTTGTTCAGTGCTTCTAGGTTTTCCATGATGGTTTAGCTTCATGACCTCAACCATTGAAAATACAAAACTGTTTTTCAATGTGTTTCTGTAGTTTGTTGTATTGAGTTGATGAACTTCGGATATTTCTACGTTAATTAAACAATTTATAAAATAATCCATAAATTGTAAATTTAATTCATAATAGATCTAATCATATAAGATCCATGTTTAAACTGTATCGAATGTGAACTCTAATTTAAATCTTTCAATTAAATCTATTCTTATTAAAGAAGCATGGGATTGGATCATGGAATTGGTTGAAATAGTCTTTAGATCAGGATACATAATGAAAAAAACAACACTTTGAATCCCAACCGTTATCACATTAATCAACAGACTAGGTTTGTTTAATAAGAAGTTATTATTGATGAATTTTCCAGGGAAAATAATGTTCAAGGTTGGGTTCACAAATCATATGGCAAAGATAAATGTTTTCTGGATGTGCCCCTAGTAATAAAAGATGCCCACTTTTCCTTATTTATTTATTAGGTTAATTTTACATGTTCCAATTAGTTCAGAATAGATATATTACTAGTTTTGAAAATGGAATCATTTACTCTAGAATTTTTCCAAAACAAGGTCAACTACTTAGAAGTAGTATACTAGTGTTCAACAGTAAAATACATACAATACAGACAACATACTCTTGGACGATATATCTATTAATTCTCAACGAAACCTGAATATTTTAGTAATAATTTAATGTTATGATGTAGCTTATGATTTAAACAACAATTAACTTTGTTCACTCCTTTAAATTTAAATCATTCGCTGACGAGGTCAGAATTAGGAAGAAATAGTTATTCAGTACTCTCTGATATTCAGTAATTTACTGATGGACATCAATCTGTGTATTTGTTTTTTACTATGGTGATAATTCTATTATTATTTTTTACCGAAATTTACTCTTTCCAACGAGTGGATAACGTATATTTATCAATGAAAAGTATATTATATGAGTATTGAATGAGACAAATTATTTAGAATCTAATTGTTTATTTTTCTATTGAGATCATGAACCCATTAATATTAGACCACCAAACCTGGAAGCACTGGACGGTCGTTTAGTCCTATTGTGGGACTCCTCAGCAGTACTCATCTAGGATCCCGCTTGTGGTATTCAAACCCTGGGCCTTCGGTCTCGTGAGTGAATTCTTAAACTCTAGACCACTAATCCCACACCTAACGGTGTTAATGTCTGACTTCAATCGATCCATGAATGGCTACGCAACTTATCACATTAGTTAGTGGATAGTGATCATAACTTAAACTCAGTATCCATCATTTTAAACGTCAATATATTATTCACTAAGGTACTGAGTATAGGAATTCACTGGATGTCAGGTTTCAGTATGAATATCAGCTCACTGAAGTAATAGATACATTTATATAATGAATCTAAATAGAATGAAATAAACACCCTGAATCTCATTACAAATCACATCTTAAATATACCATAAGTTTTTCATAATGCATTTTTAAAAGAATGTTGTGAAATGTTTTTTTTGTAAATACACAATCGTTTGTAATATTGATGAATCAAACATTTAAACAACAAATAATTTTGGGTATCAATACCAAGGTTGGACTTGAAAGCTTCAAATAAATTGAGCATTAGGTAGAAAGTTAATAATAAATGTATTTTTTTAATATCCCAATGAGTAGAAAAATGGTATTTTTGACGTTTCGTGACTTAATGTAAACTACTTCTTCAGAGTAAAGAAACTAATTCTGTGATGCTTTAAAAATGACATGATATACAAATATTTGTGATTTCATCCCTTATTATTATTAGTATTATTATTATTTTGATAGTCAGATTATTTCCCTCTAGATTTCAAGGGTACATTGCAACTTCATTTTGTGTCTAACGTAAATCTGCAAGATAAGAAAGTGGTAATATTACAGAGTATAAATCAAAGCACTACTTGACATGAGGTTCAAAATATGGCTAACTATATTTGGAAAAGCTTAAAAAACATACATTATTATTATTCATTTCTTTTCTGAACTCGTCAGATAGGTATGTTGGCGAGACTACGATTTGTGGACGAACCAATCAGATTAAAGATAACAGGTCTTGATGCGAAACTCATTCACCCATTTGTCTAAATAGCATTTTGGCATGATAGCTGATTTCAGTTCGTGATAAAAACTTTAAATCTAATGCCTAACTCCAACTATCAACTATAAATCATAATCCTTATTCTTCAAACTGTTTTGTAACTCCCATTTAGCCTTAGTCAGTAGGTGAACATTCTCAAGATCACTAAGACATCATTCAAAAATCGTTTATAAATTATAGTCTCAGTGGTGTGTCTGTACCTTAATGTTGATATTCACACGTGGACTCGAACATTACCAATTGGATCTAGGTAAATCCATTTAATGAGTTTCAGTTAAAGAGAAACGCCTGTCTTGGATTCCAATACTATCCATAGTCCATTCATTGTATTTTATAAAACATCATTATATTTAAAAATTCAAGGTGATACTATTTTATTGTTGTTTTCATATTGACTGTATGTTTCAGTCACATGTCAATCATTATCAGTTGACTACGAGAATTCAGTAAAAAGTATGTTGATCGTTAAATCTTTTATGAAGTTACAGTTGATAAAACTGTATCAAATCAAGTGACAGCAACTAAATAGTTTATTTTTCTTAGTTAAAATATTTGAAGCTAAATGAAGTTGTGTTTATTAAATTAGTCATATAGTTCTTGTATTTGTCAATAGCTTCATTATTTATTCCGTAATAAATCAGTATTATGCTTTTAGATTTGTAAGACAACTCTAATAAGTAGTGTTGGGTTGATACAGAAAGCCCATCGAAAAAAAAACAAGAAAAAGCTCTGAAAACGCTGAAAAACATCTTATCCGATTAGCATTCAATAGACATTTTTTTATTGAGATCATGAACCGATTGATGTTAGACCACCACCTTTGGAAACCTGGAAGCACTGGACGGCCGTTTCGTCCCATTGTGGGACTCCTCAGCAGTGCGCATCCACGATCCCGCACCCCACGAGATTCGAACCCAGGGCCTTCAGTCTCGCGCGCGAACGCTTAACCCACTGAACCACTGAGCCGGCATCCAATGGTGATAGTGTCTAACATCAACCAATCCACGAAATTGCGCGACCAACTTTCATTGTACTGAGATAGATACCTGTCTCTACCCGACATGGATTACCTTCACTGGTCACGGCTTCTCACTAGAACTCCGAAAGTTCCCTCACGAAGCTAATCACTAGTGAGCACATGTTGATTACTAGTATAGGTGTTGTGGAGATTATTAAGCTTTTTGATTGAGATTATGATTTTTTTTTACCAGAAACATCTAGAAATTAAAAAGTTACATGTCACGTTTCTGATTAAATGATTATCTATACTGCTACTATATGTAGTAGCGTTTTAGAATTTTCAATGAACCCAAGATTATCTAAATTACTATAAATACACTAATTTTTCTGTGCATAAATGAACTTAAGAATAAAGAGTTTCTTCTATATTCCACACTTTTTCTCTCGTGTTCAAGT